TTAAATTAAAAATGATTGAAAATAATTGAAAACAGAGTATGACACATATCAGAATATTTGCACCGAAAAGCCGAACAAAACTATTAAAAAATTCGTTCAATTTTTAAATTCTATCTTCTATTTCCAAAATTTATCTAAAATTGATAACTAAAATCTATATTAATTATAATTAATTTTTATTAGAAGATAATTCATAAAATTATTTATAGTATATTTAATTTATAAACTATGCAGAAACTATTAAAATAAAATAAAAAAAATATATAAATCTGTAATTTAAGCAATTTTTAGAGTTTCTTAGTATCTTATAGATAGATAAACGCAAAATGCTGTAACTCTCAAATATTATTTCTATTTAAATTAGGTACAAAACTTTTACTCAATTAAATCAATTGCATTATAAATTCTATCAAACGTAATAATACCAAACAAAATCCGAACTCACCTAGAAGTATAATAAAATTGTTATAATTATATATATATATAATTATGATAAAAAAAATAAATTATAGATTATTTTCAAATATTATAATATAACATGTATGTATTAATATTAATTTTAATATTAATTATGTATTAATAATATATATTATTATTAATATATTAATATATTATAAGTATTATTAAATCAATAATAATATTATATTGATTAATATTAATATTGATTAATATAATAATAATATTAATATTAATATTATATAGTATTAATATAATATTATATAAATATATACTACTTTTGAAAAATAATATATATCTATTTAAAAATATCTTATCATAATACAAGAATTTACATAATTTTCTTAAAATATATAAAAATCGAATTTTTATAAAGTAGTTAAGAAAGAAATAAGTGTCATAAAATTTCTTATCATATACTATTATCTCAAAAATTAAGATTAAATGATGATAATGTAAGGAAAAAAATTGTTTAAAATCTTATAATATAATCTATTCTAACATATTCAAAAATCAAAATCAATGAAGATCCCTTATTAATAATTATTCTTTTTTTATTTACATTTTTATATTTCATTTTATACTATATATATAAATTCTTTAAATATTAAGTCAATCTGCTAATTAATTTTTTCTTCATTATATGATTTTAATGAACTTTAATGAAATATATTGTAACACACTTCATTTTTAAATATTTTCCAAAAAAATCGATTTTAATTTTTACAAAAAAATGCGAAAAATGATATAATCAAATAGTTTATACTATTGAATTTTATCTTTATGTATATATTCGTGATAATATATGTCAGTTTTACTATCACTTAGCAGTTAGCAATTATGTATATGTACATATAATGAATGAATTTGTCGAAAACCTACATCCTTATAAATTTGAACAAGATCTTTTTCAAAATTTTTTTTATGATTTATATACATATATATAATAAGAAAATTAATTTTGATCATTGAATATATTCGATCACTCAGTAATTATTTTATATTCTGTTTTTGCAATCCGTGAATCATTCAAAAAGATTCGAATGGTTAAGCTTATTATAAGTAGATATTAAGTGTGATGATATTTGTTCATTTTTTATATTGTATTTATATAAAGAGTTGAAAAGTGATAATCGCATAATGTCACATATATTTTATGAATGCATATATATAAATAGAATTCAATATAGTCCTAAAAGTTTCTTGGCCAATAATTTGAAAATTAAAACCAATCTTTATCATCTTTGTTATGTATAAGTTATGTATAAGTTATGTATAAAGGAAAAACTTAAAATAATAATCTTTACAATATATTTTAAGTTTATTAAAAGGAGGAAGTTAATCAATAAGGAGGAAATTAATCAGCTTTCTAATTATTTATATCTTTAATAAAATAATTAAAATATTTAAATTAAAATAAAAATAATAAATAAATTTTTTTGCATTATCATTATTTGCTATTAAACATTAAATTTTTTTTAAAATCTAATAATTTATGAATATTTAATCTATAATCTATAAAAACAAATTAACTTATTATGAATATTTTTAAATATAATTAATCATTTAATGATAATTTCATTATGTCTAATATTCATCATTATTATTATGTTATATCTTTAAGGCATATATTATATTTTTATTGACAATATAAAATCCATTTGATGGAACTAAAATTAATTCATTTCTATTTCTAAAGATAAAAAGAGTTTCTTATTTCGAAATGATTTGATTAAGTTGAATTACATTTATAAAATTTGAAACTTCTATTAATAATTTTAATATTAATTTTTTAAAATACAATTTTATTCTAAAAGAAGTTTTGTATTACTTCCATTAACATCCTTATTAATACCATGACGCACAGCAAATTCATGTTTTACACTTGCAAAAAGAATATCTGTTACTAAAAAAATTTGTGCTATAGCAAATGCTAATGTAACTCCAAAGTAAAAGTTTGCGTTAGCTGATCTAGAATATATCCATTGATACCAAACAGTAGGTGCAAAAATTGTGCAAAATAGCATAAAACAACCTACAATAAATCCTTGTTGTGTATCTGTAAAAAAAAATCATTTTTACAAATATTGTAATATTTTATATTTAAATAAGCAATATACTTACATTGAAATAAATGTTTCCAAAGTGGTAAAAGTGACATATAAAATCCAACATCTCCTATACAAGGGTACGATTTAAATATAGCAATAACTGCTAAGTAAGAAAATGCTAATAACATTGGATCATGTCGTAACCTTAATGCTAATGGTATTATATATAGTAAACTAACATTTATTTGAAAAGAAGCAATGAAAAGCCATCTAAAATGCTCAAATACTTCTGTAAAGAAATACCAATACAGTCCAATATTTGGACGTAAATCAGGAACTGTTAAAATAAAGCCAAATGTATTCCAAATAAATGACCAACTTCCCATAATATAATAAGAAATATAAAATAAACTAATTAATATGCTTATAAATATTATAATAAAATTAAGAATATTCCTTTTTTGTTTTATATTATCAGAACGAGCAATATAAATAATTGCTGGTACTATGAGTGAAATAGGATAAAGTCCTTGTAATGTTAATAAAGAAATTGATAAACAACTCCAAAATATAGAAGATTTTGTCATTGAAATCAATGCTATGGAATATAATAAATTTGTAAATACTGTTGTTGTATGTCCTACACAATTAAGTATAATGTATGGATTAAATAAATATCCTGCTGAGACATACATTATTGAAGTATATATTATTGAAGCATTATTATGGCTTTCTGTCTTTTCATTGCATAATTTTTCTTCTTCCTTCTTTTTAAAAACCTAGAATTAAAATATAATTCCAACAAAATAAAAATCATATTTTAAATATTTCATAATATTAAAATTTAACTAACCAATTCAGTCGTATATTGTTTTGCTGTAAGTCCAAGAAATAATGCTGTTAATAAATCAGTGAACACAAATAAACAAAATAATATTGACTGTGGTAAATGTTGTTGTATGAAATTAAAAACATATAATCCAATGGGTGTTTCATGAAATAAATCTCCTGTATAAGGATCAATGCCAAAGTTATATAAATAGACTCCTTCAGTTACTAAAAATTAAATAAAATAATAATAATTGTTATAAATATAATATGAATACACATACACACATACGTACATATATATATATAATCTATGTAATTTGTAATAAAAAATACAATAAAAATTCTCTCAATCTTAATATTAAATATATTTGACATTTATCCTAACCTCTCTTCCAAGAATTCAATGCAGTAGAAACTTCCATACGATCACTAATGATTTTTTGGTATTCAGAATTCATTAATAAAAATCTAATAATACCGGCTAATATAAAATTTGATAACCATTGTATCTTCATTTTGTATTTAAACTATAAATCATTTACGTATGACATAACCGACTATTTAAAAGATAGACTACATATGTATTTGAATTATTTTTTAAATTACTATTTAATATAATTTATAAATATTTTAATAATATTTTTTCTTTTTGCTATGAGATTTTTTTATTGCTATATGTTAAATATTATTACTTAAAATTAAATTGAGTATGATTAAATCATAGCATATGAGCGGATTTTTTTTGTTTAATGAATCCATTTTTTTAATACAATTTGATGAAATAGCTATCAATAATATATTTATATATATATAAAAAATTTCGAATACGAAATAAGTAAAAAATTTAAAATATGATTCTAGAGATTAAAACAAACACAGACATAAATTTTTGATATGTAATGATATATCCAATGAAATTTATTTTTCAAGTTATAAATAATTTATTTTTGCATCAGATAAAACTAGACGACAAATCAATCATGACGAGACATTATGATTTCTTTATCTTTATATATTTCATTTAATATCAAAATTAAATTCTTTATGTTTTAAATTTGATTTTTATATATAGATCCATATACTTATTTTAATTTCTAGAATCGGGTCTAAAATTTTCTATCTACTTCGTACAAATATATTATATACTAAAAAACATATATACAAAATGAAATTTTTCTTATTCACATTTGAAATATTTAAATATATATACATATATTTTATATTAAGAAAATTTTTTATTTAATATATTAATAATAATATTAAGTTAAATAATATTGTAGTAATATTAAGTAATAAAATATATTGAAATTCATAAGTAAATAACAAAAGATAAATAAATAAAAATTAAATAAATTGAAAATATAAGAAAAAAGTAATTTGTATTAAAAAATTAAATGTATAACAAAAATAGTAATATATTAATATAACTATAATATAATAAAAACTTTTATTCCTTTAAAAAAAATTGTTGTTTTTCTTATTCACTTATTTCTTCTTTTAAAAAATTGTAGATAATCTAAATAATTAAATATATTAAAAATTTATATATACTTTATTTTTTTTTTTAATATCATATAATTTTTTTAAGTTATGAGAAAATTGATTTATATTTCATTTAAACATTTAAATATTAAATTATATTTTTTACGTAAATATAACAAAAAAATGTGGAACGCTTCACGATTTTGCGTGTCATCCTTGCGCAGGGGCCATGCTAATCTTCTCTGTATCGTTCCAATTTTAGTATATGTACTGCCGAAGCAAGTACGCTGTGAAGTTTTTATTTCTCATATATAAAGGAAGTAATGAATTTTTGACCACTAGTGAGAAAGGAATACTTAATGTAGCCATCTAGTGGCGTATTTATATAATAGTAATATAATTTGAAGCTATTATAAAGAAATAATGGTACTTATCATTAAATTTCTTTTGAAAAAATTTTAAATTTTAATTTTACCATTTATGTTAGAAGATAACACTATAAAAAATAAGATGTAATTTGTTTAAATTGAGCATAATAATTAATAACATTTAATAACATCATATTTCTTGGTTATTTTTTATACATTATAAAAATAATACATCATAAATACATTATAAACATAAATAATTATAATATTTTATTTTTATCAAATAAAATTCTTAATGCAAATTATAATTCGTAAGTATAAAATGAAAAATAAATTTTAATCATATTTATTTTTTAGCGATTAACGGGATGGAGATATGCAGCATTTATAGGTACATTTGTAGGAACTGTAGGAATATTTTGTTATTTTACAATGATAAGTCCTATGATTAATCCAGAGCCATATAGTATGTATATAATATTTTGCTTATTAATTATAAAAATATATTTTTATTCTTATATGTAAAATAAAAATTCCAGAAAGAATTCGAGAACAAGTGGCACAATCCCATAGTAAAACTTACAAAAATAGCAAAGAAATATAAATAAGAATATGTATATTTGCAAAATTACAATTTTTACTAAGAAAAAACAAGTTAAAGATATAAAATTAATTTTTATTATATATTGAACATATGTTACTAAAATGTTGATGTATATAAAATAGACTGAAGAATATTCAGTATATTATATTGAGAAATCAATAAATGTAGTGACTTGTACTCTTCTTATAATTATTTTCCTAATTATTTACTGTACAGATATTGCTGTAAGAAGTTCTTATTTAAAATGACTGGAAACTTTCCTACAGATATTCTAAAACATGATCTAAATGTAATATACAATTTATGTTAAAAATCATCATGATCACAAACATCTAGGAAGACATCAAATGCTTCACGGTTACAATTTCCATCGGCAGTAAAAACATATTTATGAAATGTTCCATCCATACAAATTGCTAAGAATAAATAAAATAAAAAATTAAATTCGAATACATTATTATATATAATTTTAATGTAATAGATATATTTTTTTATACCTATGACAGAACTTCTTGTACCAAATGCACATACACAAGCACATTCTGGTGGTACTGTAAATGTAGCCAATGCCCATTGACTTTCAACGTAATTTCCCAAAAATCCCATTTTTGAAAAACTATGAATAAATCAATCATTAATTTTAATCATTAGAATTTATAAAAATTTGTACTATATTTACATACGTCGATCTGCGATTTAATTGTGTGTCTTTTAATGCAAATATGTGTACTGTTCCTTTATCGCTAGAAGCACATAAGAATTCCGAATCTCTACTAAATGTAATGCTGAAATATTATAATTTAAAATTATAGTTCAAGACTGTAACATTATTAAAAGTAAAATATTTTTATATAAAATTTATTTGTTTATAATTTATTGTTAATATTTATTTATTTATATATATTTAAGTTTTATTAAAATTTTATTTAAATTATTTACGTTTTTATATATATATATATATATGTATACATAATAATATTTATATATACCAATAAAGTGTTGCAGGATCAGCACCTCTTCTTAATTCCACTAATAAGTGTCTACGTATACTGTCCCATACTCTAACTAATGTACCTTGAGTGGAAGCAGTTGCTATCATTGTTCCACTACTATTAACTGCAAGACAAGCTAATGCACCCTAATAACATACATAAAAAAAATATTTATATATAAAAAGAAATATTAAGTAAAATCATAATAATCTATTATTTAATTATTTAATTACGTAAATTTTTATGTAAACTTTTTATAAATTATCATTATTTAAGTTTTTATTTATCTTATATAACATATCTTAAATATAACATACTTGATGTGCTGCAAGAGTTGCAGGAGCACTAGAACTTCCTGCTTCTGTAGCACCAAGATCAATTAATTGTACACTACCCTGTTTATGGCCAGGGAAAGCAAGAAGTTGTTTTTGTGCAGTAGCTAATGTAGCAACTTCAATTAATCCCATTGGATTATCTCTGGTTTCTAAAGTCAATAATCTTCGTGTAGGCATAGGAAATGAGAAGACATGTATTTCTCGTTGAAGTGCTACTATCATTCTGTTTTGTAAAATTATTCTTACATAAATGAAATATTTATATTGACTATTATATTGACTAAAATAGAAATTGATATCATTAATGAACTTACTTGTCTCTACGTAATCGTATAGCTTTAATAGGACTGGTAAATGTAACTTCCATTATAAATTTTTTAGATAAATCATCATAAATAAGTACTGTATTTTCTGCAAACTTTGGTCTTGTACCACCACCTACTATAGCAATGATGTTTGTTCTCCAAAGCATTTCTGCAATAGCTATACTTCCCATTATATCATTTTCCAAATGAGCTTTTTCCACTAATGGTTCTACATTGTATACTCTAAGACCAGATTCCATACAACATGTGAAACATCCTAAAAGAATATAAATTAAAAATAAAAATATAAATTTAAAAATTATTATTAAATAATAAAAATAATTTAAAAAATAATAAAAATTATTATTAAAATTTATTTAAAATTTTAATAATTAAATTGAATATTAATGTATAATAATAAATAATGTATAATGTAAATAATATAATTATACCATTAATACAAATAAAATAGATTTTTTTTTTACATTATTTTACTTTTTATATATATTTATATTTCTGATAAAATATAAATATTTTTAATTTTAAAATTTTTAATTTTCAAACGAAAAAAATATTAAATTTTATAATTTTATTAAGCAATTTATTTTAATTAAAAATAAATTTATTTTAATTGTTAGAGATTTCAGAAATTAACATTAAGAATAATAATTACCTTGATCCTGATTAAATCGTAAACTAAGAATATTTTTTTCGCCAGCCATTTGATGTTACATTAAATTAAACAAATAAGTATCCTTTCGATATATAAATTTTTTTTTTAATTGATGAATTTTATGTTTTTGTTTACATTTTTCTTTTACAATCAGCTGTAACTGTGACACAATGTTTGGTACAATATTTATCATTCAGATATATATATATACATATCATAAGAATTATTAGGTTGATTTTCACTTTTCAAATGAATTAAATTTATCTATGAATAATACAAACAATATCTACATGTTGTGCATAAATAATAAAAAATACAATGATTTCTATTATTTTCTTATTTAGTGAATAAAAAGATGCAAAATGTAATATTTAAATAAATTTAATAAAACATTTTATATTCTAGCGACTGTTACATAGATATTCGCCACTAAGTCGCTGTGATCATAGGATACCATTTCTTTAATGTGTCATTTAACAATAAATAATTATTTTATATCATTGAGATAATTATTCAAACAACTAATACTAAAACAGTTGAAAAAAAAAGAATTATTAAATTAAAAAAAGCATTTTTAACCTTGTTATAATTAAAAGTTATATTGATGAAATTAAAAGTATAATGATGAAAATATAAATTGTTTAAAATTATAATCTAATTAATCTATTTATTTTTATTATTGCCTTAGTATTTTACTTATCATTATTTGATTTATGATATGATATTTTCGGTTAATACTTGTTTGTAAATAATTAATTCATATTTCTTTTAAATGCTTTCTTTTTATCTCTATACATGTATATGAAAAATATGTATGAAAAAATCGTTACGATTTATTATATTTATAATATTTGTTTTTCGTGTCATATTTTTGGTTATATCGAAATTCACTAATTTTCATAATTTCATAATTCCACTTTTATAAGAATAGCAAAAGTTGCTAGCTATATTTTATATTTTATATTTTGTATTTTGTATCAAATTTTTATGAAACAATTATCATAACATTCTTATACATTATTTTAATATTTATATATTTGAGACAAATTATTATATCTTATTATATATAATTTAATATGATTTTCATGTATAATATTGTATTCTTGTTATCTTAGATCATACAATGTGTATATAGAAATACATGAGTCAATTTGAAGCAAAAATAACAAAGAAAATGTGACATTATTTATAAAAAAAGATAATTCAAAATGTTGGATATTTCATCAGAAACATATAACAAGTAGCTATGTGAAACAAATGAAATTACATATTTGTTTGTAAATAATTTTTGAATAAGTATTAATAATAATAAATTATTTAATAACAACAACAACAACAACAATAATAATAATAAATATAAACATATATAAAGGATTATATAAAAGTGATACATTAAGTACAATCTATTATATCCAAAATACATCTTGTTGAATTAAAAAATTTAACAGTTAAATTTTTATTCATCATGAGCATATAATTATGTTAAGGATATAATTTATAATATTCTATCTAATTTCTCCAAATCCTTTTCTTTCTAATATTATATACAATATATTATACTTACCAAAATTATTTTATTTTACACTCAATAATTGTAAATAAATCATTTTTTTTTTTAAATTATAATTTCCAACATTTATAAGTAAAATTTAAAATTATAAGAATAAAGTAAAAATTAATTTTTTTTATAAAGTATAAATAAATTTTATATATATATACAATATAATACCAAAAAACAGCCGACAATTATATAGAATATTGCATGTAACTATTTTTTTATTGTTTTTTATGTTTGTGATTGTATGAAATAAAAAATGTTTTAAACCATAATTTAATGACATCAAATACTATAATTAACAATAGAAAGTATTTTAAAAATATTTTGTTTTCAAAATAAAATCAAGATCATATTAAATAATATAAATAAATCATGATTTTTTTTCATGAAGTTGTAAGCAATTTCATCAATTATCAAATATATCAAGTAGTATATATCAAAGATACATATTTCAATTTTTGATTTTTTGTTTAGATTGCTATTTAATTCAAGTAAAGTAAAAAAAATATAGTCATTAAACTATAATTATTGTAATAAATATTTTAATCTTATAATATGTTCCTCAAAATATTTTCTGTTTTTTATGTTATTAAATTTATTTAATAATTGAATCAAATATTAATAGACGATTCTTAAAAAAAATCAAAATAAATAATTTTTTAGATTTTCTGAATATTTATTTATTTATTTAAAAAATTATAAGAATATAATATCAAAAAAATTTTAATGATATATTTAATAATCAATTTTTACTATCTATATATATAGTAGATATATATATATTTATGAGATACCTATGTAAATTTTATTTCCCCGACAATATGGGTTGCGTGATAAAAATCGTTATGCAAATTCCGTTCTGAATTATTTAGTTGTTTTCCGAAAATAATATATATTAATTTAGTTTTTAATAAACTTTAATAAATTTTAATTTTATCATGTGATTACCATTCATAAACAGAAGACGTTAAAATATCAATATTAATAATAATTATTTTATTATTAATACTATATTTATTGACATATAATAATATTATCAGTTGTCAAATGATAGTCATTTGACAAGATGTAATCGTATTCAAATTTGTTTACAAGCTCTCATTAAACAAATTATAGATATATATAAAAAGATATATTAAAATGGAATCATTAGAATTATAATAATATATAAAATTTTAATATCACAACTTAATATCACAATTTTATATTCGCATGAATTTTGATCCCAAAAATTTTTAATATCAAAATTGTAATTTTTATAAATCATTTATTAAAAGATATAAAAATATATTGTAATGTTAATTTCTATTTTAA